AGTCGGCGGCATGGTTATGAGTAAAGAAAAATGAAATAGGAGTAAATGTTATTGTAACAATCTTGGATGCAAAAGGGTGATACAAATTCTCCTCCTCATTGGCCAGATGCACCTCGTATTCTGCATTTGCAGCACAACCGCGTGTTATTTGCTGGCCAGCACGCACATCTGGGTAGGGCACCACCACACAACCACGCTGCCCTTGCGCACGTGCTTGAATATCCTGGTGAGCACGGCGTTGATCTTCCCAGCCAGCTTCATCTTCATCAGCCAAATCCTCAATGGCATTCACGGTCACGTCCTCGACTTGATCTTCAACGGGAGGCTCCCATTCAGGTTCGAGATTCCACCCCTCATCATCATCCTCATCCCCAGCCTCATCACCCTCGTCCCTAGGCTTGTCAACCTCATACCCAGGCTCGTCTTCTGCAGTCGGCTCGTCAGGCTCATCTTGTTGGTCCCTGGTATGTACTTGGGAGCGCGACTGATGGTACAGTGCTTGACAATGTGGGTTGCGGCTCTTGGCAAGATGTTGACTGAGACCAGTTACCGTGAAATCGTCACAGGAACAAGCAGGGCATTGAGTGGACATAGCTATGTTGCTGCAATCTTGGAGATAAGGGCCTTGAGTGTGAGTGTGAAGCACCCGATCAACGATACACCTCACGAAAGGGTCAACAGAACTAGAGTAGAGGATGTGGATCAGCCCCCGATCAATGATACACCTCATAAGATAATATACCTTGAGTGCGCAATGATCATCTGGAAGGAACCAGTTTCGGTTTAACAGGGGAGCTATGAACAGGTTTGGCAGGCGAACTTGAAAATTTCAAGGGAGCAAAAACTTCTGGGGCACCTGCACCATTTCAACTGCCTCCATGGGCGACGCCCCTTGAAACTAGGGCCATGCACTAAAATTTCACAGAACCCTCCAAGTCTGAGGCTCGACTCTTTTTTCTTGCACTTTGACCTTGACCATTCCTTCTAACGTTCTTTGTTAGCTTGTTGTCACACCTTTCAATCTATATACAATGTCCGCACCTATTCAGTATCGTGGTGAGTGACGAGTCCATGCCGCTGATAGCTCACCATCAGCATAGGCTCACTGGGTGTCCATAGAGCCGTGAAATGCAAAGAAAAAGGCTATGGAAAATGCAGGTAAGCATGCGAGTCTTCACAGAAAAATTGATACTCACCTCCAACTTGAGTATGGATGCCTCCTAAGTCAGCAAGGAAAGTCGCTCGTCAACTTGAAGTGTCTCCAGACCCATCACCAGCTGTTGCCAAGCCTAAACAAGTCAAAGCGAAAAAGACCAGCATTGGTGACCTTGGTTTAAAGCTATATAAGCCAACTACTCACCTTGAATCAGTTAATGTGCCACGCACAAAAGCAGATCCGACCACTCACAAGAGTTTAGTACCTTTGAAACTGAGTGAGTCACAAAGAGTCTATAATGAAACATAGACATCGGTACTAACCTTAGTGGCAGAGCACAAACATACTGATAGTGTTACCGAAGACGAGGAGGAGGATGGCGATGATTCTGATGGCAGTGCGGACTTGGAACCTGATAAGCCTCAAGCTCAAGGTTAGTCATGATGGTGATGGTGCAACTTACTACTCACATGACCATGTACATGTGACAGCCGTTTATGGTCGTCCTCGCAAACTCTGTTGCACATATGCCATGCGTGATGTCTCTGCGTTATTCGAGTCTGATGAAGACTTGGATCAGGAGGAGGAAAACGGCATTGATTCTGACACTGACCGTGAGGAGAGTGAGGGCGAGCCTGAGGATCCGGAGTCAACTGCCATGATGCTCTCTGACGAGGTGAGTGATTGTTTACTTCAGTATCAGCTGTACTCACCGCAGTGACGGCGTGTCTCAAGGTCCCTTCGCTTGTCGGCAACGTTAAAGTCAACTTGAAGTCAAAGCAAGTTAAATCTCATGAAAAAACCCAGTCTGCCCGTGATGCCAAACAAGCTGCAGAGGTGAGTATATATATATTGAACTTCACTCAGGCAGCTGCATACTAGAATTGACACAATCTTTAGATTCCAACCTGGCGCGATTTCGACAACACCGAGTCCACTGATGGAACCACTACTGCTTGTCACGGCGACTCCTCTGAGCCTTACTCTAGCGATGTTGAACTTCGTGCTCTGGAACCCAACTCTGCACTGACTCGATCGGTTCAGACTGGCATTGCTGCTCTTGTTCGAACGGAGAAAGGACACATCAAATTACTTGATCAAAATAACGAGACTCGGCGAGTAGTGCGAGATGCGATTATTGATGCCAAAGGTTACATCATCTTTGTCGATGCTTATCCTGAGCTAGTTGACAAAAACCAAGTTGCACTGCAGTCTCTACTAACAGTGGCTAGGAATCGCGGTGTACATGCCATTAAAGATCATCTTCGAACCGATGCACAGTATGCTGCTCACCTCACTAGTTTAGTAAGCCCTTTGCGTGTCTCAATTTTTCTTATGTTTTAACTATCTTTCATTACTTGAGGTGGAGCCACGCATTCCGTTATTGTGCCGTGACCTTAAAGTTGCCGCATGCACCAACATTGATACTTACTTTCAGCTCAGCAATAATGTGGTCAAGGCAAAGAAATTGATGGAGCAGCATGCATATATCTATGCATTGAAGTTTGATGTAAGTAAATTTGTCCTCCGGTCTCGCTACTAGCCTCTGACTAACATTCTTCATCAACAGTTGAACGACAATGCTTCACCCATAGGCAAAAAACCCTACCAGGGTGACCTGCTGATCTTTCTCATATACGAGGCAGTCTTCAGTGGTGCAAAGTCTATTGGCATCAAGTTGATCGAGCACTTTGCCAAACTGGCGAACAACAAGGGCAATCGTCTTGAATGCCCCATTCTGTTACTCGCACTTGTGGCAACAGCGGTACCATCCTTTCTACCAATCTCTGTGCTATATTGATTCATTTTACAGGTCTATGCAGCCCTTTTCTGGAAGACACTCGGCTCACCAGGGAAGTTTAACTTTACAGGGAATCAATTCAGTGAGACGTATGTGTTTCATGTCAATTTCCTCGAGGACTTGAAGCGGGATGCACCGGGAGAGTTTCATTGCATGATGGCTGATATTTACGAAGCTGTACAGTAAGTTTTACAGGTATTCATGGTGCCATTTCAACTCGGATACTGACTCTGCTACTTGAAGGACCTTGAAACGGAAGGGGAATGATCATTTCGTTAATGAGCATCAAGATGCACTGGGGCTACTCTAGTGTTGCGGAAGTCCGGTTTGGTCCGGTTCAGCAACAAATTTTGCGAATGCTGAACCGGACCTCACATCTGGTTCAATCGTTTTGCTGAACGCTGAACCGGACGCCATGAATGCGTTCATGGCGTCCGGTTCACGTCCGGTTCAGCGTTCGAACATCGAACACATTGTAAATATACTCGATTGTACTATAGCTAGTAGTAAGGAGTACTGGTACACTACTGTGAAGCAGACTTGGAGGGGGTGATGCCGTCGATATCTGTCTCATGATCCATGTCAGTAGCTGCATCCGTAGTTACCCCGTTATCCTGGTCTCCTTCACAGTCACTTTCCTCCTCAGAGCCCTCACTCGTGACCACTGACCTGCTAGCCTTGTGTTTGCGCAAGACAGCGTTGTTGGGGTCAACAAGCTTGGGTGCAGGGCGTGGGATACGAGTCGAGCGACGTGCCTGAGCGGGAAGCACAGGCAGTGGAGTATCGTCGTCGGGATAGTTGTACCATCGGATTTGACTGGCGTCGAGGAGAGTTCCATCTGCACCCAGACCACACTGGTCAGCCATGTTGTGAGGGGGAAAGCTTGAAGAGAGTTGAGCTTACCTTGAATTTGATCCATTTTAACTTCCATCGAGTTCATGAGTGCCGAACAATTCATGTAGCTACCCTAGAAAAAAAACGACCCGTTAACAAATACATTAGCACTAAACCAAATTAACCAAAGTCTCCATACCTTATCAGGTTCTTCCTTTGTGATGTTTGGGTTAGTGGTAGGCAAACAAACCTTCACGGACCTTGCCAGTGTGGCATGGTCCTTGTGAATCGGATTCCAAGCGAAAAAGTTGCGAGTAATCATGTCATGTTCAGTGTATTGCGTGTGTGGGTGATGTCATCTCGTATGTGTGAGTAGCCTTAAATGGAAGCAGTTCAAAAAGGTTCGGACGCGTTCGGACGCATTCAACGCGTTCAAGGAATGCTGAACGCTGGACTGGACCATCGGTCCAGTTCAGCCTATACTCTGAACGTTGAACTGGACCGTGGTCCAGTCCACAGAAGGTCCGGTTCGAACCGCAGTTCAGAACCGAACCTCCGCATCACTAGGCTACTCGACCTGGATGGAATGGCAGATGATTAGGTCCTGTATTCATGCTATCTATACCTGTAAACATCCCAGATTTGTGTATCACACCTTAATTTGCCTAGTCTTCCAAGTTGGCTGTGTTATGTATATCCTTTGATCAAATATTAGTCTTTTTTGCTCGTAATACCATCTAATGTGCGCAATTCGCTATGCTACATTCGAAATATATTCTCTGAATTTCTCGATATTGCCTTTGAATTCATGATAATTATCCTTTATATTCAAGGGAGTAAAAAAGTCTTTCTAAACTAACTAATCATTCTAAAGCCCATAATTTGACATAATTCGAGAGGATTACCGAGAATTATCATAGTTTAGAGTAATTTCCTGGGGGAGGGTTTTCCTGATGGACAAGGATGAAGTTGGATGTGTGAGCAGTGAATAAACGCGAGTGAAAAGTCTTGTAGTTCCGTTTGATGACTCTATGAGTCAGGGCAAGTTACCTAGGTCAACCGCCCCCCGACAGGTCACGTGACTTCACGTGACTTATGAACGATGTGTAACAATGACTAACACACGATGCTTATCTTTGGCGATAGTATGTAATTGTATTGTATGTTCTTTTGAATCTGATGTTCTGGTAATACAATTATGTACTTTCATCACTGGCGGTTGATAGCGCGGGTGCGATAGAACATCGCGTTCGATGTTTCCCTTTCCCATGTTGTTGGACTCCTCTGCCGTGACGAATTCTCTCGTTTCTCTCGACCAAGGCAATTCTCCATCAGGCGGATGAATGATGCACCCTCATGCTCGACGGCATTGAGCATCCTGTGATCGTTGAACTGGATTTGATACTGGAGACCATCACAAAAATCACGGAGGTTTTTGATGTGTGCCTCGAAGTGTTCTTGAAAGGTGCGTGTATCCATCCGTCCGGCCGCTGTATCCACAAACTCATCTTCCGCTTCTTCATTTTCCCTATCAAATATATTTCCCTCTACTCCAGTTGGGTTCTCGTGGGCGTCCTCCCCTCCTCTCACCGAGTATTGCAATGTCTGCTGTACCATGGAATCGGGAGGAAGGCTGTCACACAATGGAACGAGTGATGGGTGCGACCAGAAAGGTAATGTTCGGTTACGTTGAACTTCCAAGAAAAACACTGGGCTAACTATATGCACGTCTTGCACTAGATGTTTGCAGACAAGGAACCGGCTCTTGACGAAGTGCGGGCAGGTGCACATCCACTTTCCAACATCGGGGCGATATTTTGCATTCATCGGCATTGTTATCGGTGTCTCGAGCGCTCGTTGCCATTCGCTTTTGAATGATTTGCGCCATGACGACAATTCCCGAAAACGGCCAGTGTCGTGGAGTAAGTGATCTAATTTTTTGGAGTATGATGGTGCGAGCTTGGTGACTAAAATCCATGCCAGAAGATCGATACGAGGCTTCGAAAAATGGTACAAATAGTCAACCTTGATTCAACGCCAGCTAGAATTCGAACGGTAAGTGCATGTTATATACTTATTGAATGATTTACTCACTGGCTTTCCATTATCATAGTCATCTTTAGTCTCGGTACCTCCATTGGTGCAACTGCTCGTGCCCAAAGCTCCCACCGGCCACGTCGATACCAATTCTCCCATAGGTAAGCCCAAACCTCGCAAAGATTGTTTTCTTTGCAAAATGTATACATCTGTTTGACCGCCCACTGACTGGATGCCAACAGCGCTTGGATGCGAGTAGCCCGGTATTAGTGGATGGGCACAAAAGTGGTGCTCGATCAGTGCAATTACCGTTTCACGAAGGTGAGTGGGACAAAATACTCTGGAATGAATGTCTGCTGATCGTTCTTCAAGACCTTTCTTTGGTATCTTGATTTTGATTGTTAGCGGATTTCTGTTGGTATTGATTTCATCATCCACTGAATCAACATCATTAGGCTCCGAATCTCTGCTGGAACGGAGCTGAGACAGGTTTGGGATGCAAATTGACAGTGATGGCACGGCCTCGTCCTCAGGGTGGATTTCATCGGGTTCGAGAAGGACACCACCCTCGAATTCTCCAGTGTCTGCAGTACCTGCGGGTGCGAATGAGATGTCGATGAAGGGAAACTCGTGGTTTGCGCGAGCAGGCTTGTATGGAGTTGTTGACAATTTTGATTTTGCTAATCGTTCTCGAATGGCTTTCCGCAGGTGCCACCAGCAAAGCTGGATCTTTGCCATTGGCCAGACAGATTTGGACATGCTGATTTTGGCCATGTCTTTATCGACATGAACAAATCGTGGAATGATGCCATACTTGTCTCGAAGGTAAGTTGTCCATCGTCGCAGTGCTGTTGTTCGTTTTCCAATTTCGATTGCAGTTGCAGTCGAAAGCAAGCAATATGATAACGGAAAGCCAGCATTATCAAATTCACCGAGCACGCTATACAGTTCTAGGTGTTTAGCATTTGTGTTGTCTGACGATTTATGTGAGCCATGGTCAATATAGCTAACCAGAACACCATTACTCACATGTCGCATCAAGGCCAATCTCGACCACCTTCCCTTCTAGCCGCTGGGTTATCTTTTTCATCCCCCAACATAGTTGCTCCACGCCATCCGCCAATTCTACATCAAAGACATCAATATCTCGACCAAATTCGTCCAACAGCATCTTTGCTGAGGTAAGCTGATCTGAATCTTTTTTCCAGAGTATTTCGCTCATCTTCGTCCATGCAAAATGTACCTGTGATGCTGTGATACGAGGATAAAGTGCCTGGATCTTCGGGGCCAATGAGCTCGGACTACTCCACTCAAGCTGGTCACGGATAATCTGGGTCGCATCTGATGGCATAGCCACATCGTAGTAAGGCACATGTGCATCATGATGCCTCATCCTAATGGATAATGTGCGCGTGTTAATTTGGTTACCCATTCTATTGCAGCAAGATATGGTAAGAGCGCTCCGACAAGGGAAGCACTTCATTCCAATTGTATCACGGTGTTTGACACCTTCCTTCTGGCTTGGCCGGGATTTCTGTTTCTTGTCCTCATCTTGACAACACCATAGAATTGTCTTGTGTCCTGTCTTGAGGGGGTAGTTGTGTTGTACCCTGTAAATATCACGGTAAGCGTCAAAACCATGCACCTTATTCGACTTACCTGAAACGATATCCGGTTGTCCTCCAGACCTCAAGTGCTGCCATTTGGACCCTCTCTTTTTCACTTGTGATTGGATCCTCAGGTACAAGGTAACTTCCATGAAATTGGACATCATTTGAGCTTTTAAACGAGGTTCGTAGGGCTGCGAATAGACACTGAGCATTCTCATACTGTGATAGCATGTAAGTACCCTTTTCCTTGAATCCATCTTGAATACTGACTAGGGTGGATTCATCATTGGACTCTGGGTCTGCTGCTTGACTTGTGCCTTCGTCTATATTGCCGGTGGGAGGAGATGGAGCAGGACGGGGAGCTTCTTGTTCCTGTTCTTGTTCTCGCTTCCTCTTCCTCCGAGCAGCAGTACTAAGTCTGTCTGCATCCCGACACTTTTGACAAGTCATCTTTGGGTCATCATGGGGTAGCACTCTCTTGCATTTTGATTTCGAGCATATCCTTTGGTTAGATGACGAGTCTCGGTTCATGTAGGTAGAGTATCACACTTTTCGGTAGGCATCACACAATGTTCATCATGGCACATACATAAGTTCCCAAGGTCACGTGATAAGTCACGTGACCTGTCGGGGGGCGGTTGAGCTGGGACAGCTGAGTCAGGGCTCATAACCTGTTAACAGTGGAGCTATAAGACGAGTCTCAGCGTCGTTAAGAGAACCACTGTATATTAACAATACCTATAAGACGAGTCTACAGATGAAATCATAGTAAGAACAAGACGGCGTGCAAACAGTACATGAGACATACCTCAGCGTCGTTAAGAGAACCGCTGAGGTATGAGGGAAAAGAAAAATGCGAGCTTATAACTGTAGTACAGAGTCCGAGATACCAAAGACCAGAAAAGGAAGAACGACGATAGCGATGACGTCGTTGACTCTCGACACCCCTGTTCAATCACACCTTTCAGACCATATTCGCATTATCTGTGCTGATCGCATTTATGTCGACACCGCAGCTGATATGCGCTGGGTGATGGTCCCAGTCTGTTTGATGCTATCATTGTGGTACGGCCCTCAGGCTGTGCTGGCCAGCACCGTTTTTGAGGCATTGACAATCTGTTAAAACGAACTTTACGATGATAAAATGGGAATGTACTCACAGCCATCCTCGGTGGGTGTCGGAGGTCAGAGCAACGGTTGCTGCTGATGACTCTATCCAGTTGCAAAAAATCTATGATCTATCGGCAGGTATTTGGAGAGATGCTGGACGGGTTGAAGAGCTCTCGAATCGTATTCTCTATTACTGATAGAATGTGGTGATGATGAATTCGACCCCCCTCCCCGCTACGGCCAAGATGATGAAGCTTTTCTCTAATACATCGATGATCACACCCCTGAAGATCGTTACAGCCACATAGCTTGCTCATTGTAATGTTCCCCTGAGCACAGATAGTACAAGAAGCCAACATAAACAATTCTGACCCCTCGCAACGTACCAGTCTGTGATTTGCACCGGATCTCAGGTGGCTCTGTGTGATCTGCTCGCCCTTATGGTGGAAAAAGGTCATGATTGGGCAGTGCACGTTTGACTCATTCATTGTCAAGGAAAACTACGAAATAGAACTTTTAAACGACCACGGATGATCAGTGGTCAATTGCATGCTTCATGGCCAGCATTGTGTTTGTTCCTCAGATATTCGACGGCATTTGGCGTGTTTGCCATCCCAGGCTGAAAAAAGGAGTCCATACAACACATCTATACGATGAGCGATGCCTACAGGCTTCTGTTCTGATCGACGTGACCTTGGGGCAGAAGGATAAATCGCCCTGCAATTTTTACCGTCATTCTACACATTCACTTCCCATGCCAGACATCACTGCTCTCGCCCGTCTTGGGCATCGCATTGACCCCGCGCTATTTAAGCGTGTTATGAACAAGAACAAGAACGAGCGTGCAAGTGTAGAAGTACCAAACCAACTACGCTTGCGCGACAAGAATCACTCTGCCTTTACGTAGCCGCGAGGAATATGTATCGGTGAAAATAAAGGAGAACGTGTCATATCAAAAAAGAAGTCCATATAGGCGTGAGGGCGTTACAGAGATCATTATTGTCATAAATGCGCGGGGAATATGTGCTGTGATGGGAGTCACCCGCTTTCGTAATATATTGGGAACCAATTACTTGTGAGAGATGATACCCGATGCGAAATATGTGGTAGGAAGCGATTATGATACATGGGAGCTTCCGGCCACAGGGAGAAGCACGTTTTGGCTCAGCCCAGGAGTCATGAGCTCGGTAGCTACCTCCTTCACTCTGCTGGCGCTCAGAGGAGTCGATGGTCTTGTTGACGGTGGACTCGACAATGCGGCAACAGTGGTATGTGCCCTCGTTCGGATAAATGTCCTGTAAATCGATATATACTTAGGTACAAGGACGAGTACGACAGCACTTACGTTCCAAACTTAATGAGTTCGCTCAAGTGAGCGTGTTTCTTAGCCTCCATCATGTACATGGTCGTATGCAAAATCCCATCTACGCCTTCCACATACAATGCGATTTGTTCGAGAGTCGGGTTTTTGGAGATGGTGAGGAACAAGTCATTCCAAATGGCTGGTAGTTGTGCTTTAAGACTGCGTAGTTTGGGGGCATGGCTCAGAACCTCAGCCAAAAGCCTGGTGACTGGTGTTGAACCGATTTTAAGTGCGTAGTGAACGGACTCCTGAGAACATCACAAATCAGTATGTAGTGACTGATACGAAAAGTAGATAATCATACAAGGTTAATCCAGCCGGGTACAGCCTTTGCAATGCGCTCAAGAAGGTATTTCGGGCGGGTGAGTGTGAGGTATGCATCTGAAGCTCTGCGAATGGTAAGATGCTTCAAGTCTATTCGGTCTAGTGCGTCGCATAGGGCTTGGGCATCGTGATCTTCTGCTGCATCTCCCTGAGGATTGGCTTCATAAACATCCATACAAATATCCACATCTTCGATCCTCTCACACGCCCGAAGTACACGAGCGCCCTCCAGCGATATGCAGCCTAGCACCACACGACGTACTGCACCAGCAAGAACCGGCTGGGCGATAAGCGTCTCGAGTACGCGGGCGGCATGAGCAGCGGTCGGAAGGTGAAGGGTCTGATAATATATGGGAGTCCCGATACGGAGGAACTGCCGGGAAACAAGCAAGGGTGACAATCGGGCACGGGTACTGGTGTAGGGTGTCGGATGAGCTAAGAGTGAGGAACATGGAAAGGATACTGGTTGGGTGTGCCAAGGT